CATATCACAATATTAAAAAAACAAAAATTTCAAAAAAAAAGTCTACAGGAAGCCCACGTAATAACTCTGTTGTCGTGTTTAAAATAATTACATTGTTAACACTCTTGTCTGCTTTCTAAAAATTCAATAAATCTCTTTAAAGAACATCCTTGGAAAGCTAGGACCTTTTCAGTGGGGGAAGATCTAAAGAGTTAGTGCAATAGCGTTCCATATAATTCCATTACATATTACATTTATTTATTTATTTATTTACTTTTGCTATGTCTTTGTATAATGATTGCATTCACAGGGACTCCAACTTGAAAAAAGAAAACAACAGACGCCGTGCACCGTGAAAATTACTGAACAGGAATTAAGTACATCGATAAGRACAGGAAGAAGAGTCGGTAAACATCTATTAGGGAAGAATCATAAATCAAAGTTTTCAAAAGACCATGAATAATTGACGAAAATTGAATAGCACACTTTTTATATTTTGGTTAATATGCACAAAAGAATTGAAGACGAGGCGCAGGGATAACAATACATGTAATCCATTTTATCCCCTGAGCCTCGTCCTAAGTTCTTTTGTGCAGGACCATTCAACCAAAATATCGACATTGGACTATTTGTTAACCATCATTAATGCATAAAATCATAAAAGGGAGATCAATTTTGGTTCCATCACATTGTGAAAATTGAGAATGATTATTTTGAMCTCACTTCAGGAGGAAAAGCAATAAAAAGATGTTTTATTTGAGTTAAACAGATAAGAAACTATATTTTGAGGTATTTTTTATATTTTATTATAAGGGTGAATAAAAATGGTCTACAATATCATATTGGACAGGTGCTGGCCTTGTGGCAGCTGCAAATTGATCTAAAGGCCAGTGTTTTCTAAGGTTAGAATACTTACGTCCGTATWGTCTTATAGTTACTTTATTTGCTCGTTGGTCATCGTACGTTGATTTAAGAGATTTACTGGATCCAAGAACGCTTGGGAAAGTTTGGAAAATCAAGGTCAGGATAAGGGTAAAAAAATACAACACCAATCATTGATAACAGAGGAGTACACTTCAGATGAGATATTAATTTTTTGGCTACAATATGTTATTCTTTTTATTATTGRCGCAAAACGMTCGAAGAAGGTYWAAGATTTAATTTAGTGTCGTGTGCTACAATRTTCAGMCGGCAGTTACTACATGTAGAATATGTGTGAATACATTGTTTCTATACATTTTTGTTGACATTTTAATATGTATGGATATGAAATATCTCAGATYATGTCAGAATTTTTCTTTTTTTATGTTACACATACATCAATTCCAAATGTTGTCAAGGAGAATTGCGAACGGAAATTGTGGAAGGAAGATCAGTTGCATGACCGAAAGGGACTATGGTTTCGCTGTTTGACCTACTAAATTTCACTTGTTGAGTTCATCTTGTATGGAAACGGAGACTAAATGTGGAGACAGTGTTTACTGCCATATTTCGGTCGTGCAATCTCCGTTGGACAATAGTCTCCTTTACGATTTTCTTTGCCATCTTAATCGCATCTGAGGCCGGCCTTGCGTGGAAGTTAAATGSCCGTTAGCGTGCACTGATAGACAGCAGCRAAYAATTGTCCATAGGTGTGGAATAAGATTTTTATAACTTGAACACTCAGGGGTCGACTCGCTTCGATGCAAAGCCACAGTCACGTTTCAAGATGGCGACAACTTTCTTTGAAATTGGCCGGTGCGTTAACTCAACCGCCAATGCCGCCAACGCATGATGCAAGGATTAAAGTATTAAAGGAAGAACGAAAGTAAACAGGCTTAGACTAATATAACTATGTGTTTAGTGTATGTGCAAGTTGTTATTGTCGTTTCTGTTTCAGATGCTAATCATGATGACAGCTYTTTTGATAACTTCAATGTGCTCTCTTTGCTCGACGGATTTGATTTGCAGATCAAGTGATCACATGGGTTGCACGTGCATGGGTGATACTATTGACGTCACAGCTTATTGTAAGGTCAACAAGGCTATATTGCTCTAAGAGCAATGATGTTTCGGCCCACTACAGTGCAGTGCATTGCAGTGCAGTGCTGCGTTTGTCTTTTTTTGTCTATAAATAGTGCCTTACAAATAGGCTGCCTTACAGATAAGGGGTGGGGGTGGGGGTTTTCTTTTTTTTCATAATACGGACCTACATTAAATGTTTGATACTAGTTTAATTTTCACAGTATAGCGTGTAAGAACTGGTACTCCTATATATTTGCTATACGGGGACGTGCCGCTGGCCAGGGTATGGTTTTTGGACTTGCTGTCTTAAACAGGGTATACAATTCACCCAAATTGTCTTAAGCAGGGTCTACAATTAAGATAAAATACCGTGATATAATTTTTTTTCTGTGTCTTGGACAGGGTAATATTTTCATA